AGATCTGGGGGGTGGAGGGAGCCGTCTGCGCCGCGTGAACCACACCCCTCCGCCTCCCCCGGGGGGCGCTGCGGGGCTGGGAGGCGGGGTGGGGGACATCGCCTGGTGGAGAAATTGGGGTGCCCCCTGGTTCAGGGACAGAAGGGTGAGCCGCTGGGAGTGACTCCAACGGGAGGAAAGCGGCTGAGGGAAACCCGTGGGCCCAGAGCAGCCCCCTCCCCCCCCCAGGACCCGCCGGGCGCACCTCGGCCAGGACCCCTCCGTATTCGCTCCCTTCGCCTTCCTCGTCCTCCACGAAGTCGTAGGTCACGTAGTAGCTGTAGGTGATGAAGGGCCCCTGGGGCCCCGGCTCCGGGTCCAGGACCGAGGAGTCCAGAACCCCTCTGATGTTTCCGATCGTCACCACGAACTGCGCCTCGCGCGCCAGGACGTCTGCAGGGGGAACGGGCAGGCGTGAGGCGCTTGGGGTGGAAGCGGGAGGACAGACGGGGCTGAGCGCGGCCAAGTTCAAACAGGTCCCCTTCGGGTGAGATGCCCTTGGCCTGGTCCCCCGACCTGTGCGATGGGAACCACAGCAGCAGCTCGGCCGCAGGACGCTCCCAGGTAAGAAGGCGCTGCCTGGGCAGGGCCTGCCGGGAGGTGCCCTCTGGCATCAATGTTTGTCACCTTGACCTTGAGAAGCCTCGTGCAGCTGGTGGCAGGGCCACCAGGGGGTGATCTCAAGCCACCACGGAAGGGAAGAGGCTGATCAAAGAGTTTCCCATTTGCCTAGGGAGGGAGGGGACCCAGGAGGCCCAGCCTCCCTCCCCTGGTCCCCAAATCCCAGTCACCGGGTCAAATCTGGGAGAGACGTCTCGGGTCAACCAGGGAGCTTGGGGACAGACACCCAGCAGCCGGGCGGGCGGCTCCCTCACCCGCTTTGTAGCGGAGCCCCTGGAACTGGTGCTTCTCGCTGGAAGACACGGTGATGTCGTCCAGCACGCAGAGCCGGGCCAGGCTGTCGATGGTGAAGCCGCGGTAGTAGGGCACCAGGGCCAGCGGGTTGCCCTGCAGGACCAGCAGCCGCAGGCGCTGCAGGGTGCTGAGGCTGGCCATCATGCCCTGCAGGTCTGTCAGGTCGTTGAAGCCCAGGTCCAGAGACACCAGGTTGGGCCTGGAAGGCGAGCAGAGGGGTGGGGACAGGCCTGCCGTCCAGCCTCCCCCAGCACCCCACGCCCAGGACAGCCAGGAGGCCTGAGCCTGCCCGTCAAGACGACATACCTTGGGCCGCCCTGGACCCAAGTTAT